TTGTATTGCTTAGAGCCACTCATTACAGCCGCAGAGGTGATTCTCAAACCACTCGAGAAGGCACACAACCAGGCATTACCCCACTCATTACAGCCACAGAGGTGACACTCAATCCCCTCGAGAAGGCACACAACCAAGCATTACGACTAATTGTCACTCGAGAAGGCACACAACCAAGCATTACGACTTATTACTGGGAGGGATAGAAACACAATTACGACCAATTACTGGAGGGATAAAATCAACACCCATTAATGCAATTCTCCCAGTTACAGGAAGCACCACAATAGATTCCCTTATCAAATAAAAGGCCTAGATACTGTATGAGAAGCTACTGCGCATTCCCATGGACCAGTTCTTCAGCACCTATGAGAATAGACCAATATGGACCAGTTCTTCAGCTCCTATGAGAATAGACCAAGACCACATAAACTTATCTACTTAAAAAAGTTAGTAGCAATAAAATAGACTGAACGAATTGTGAGAAATTTTGCAACAATGTTTATTCAACGTATTGTTGCAGCAATTCAACCACTTTCTATTTTGAAAAAAATTATTCTGCTTACAATATTAACTATTGAAAAGTACATAGTTTATAGAATTCTTTACTGAAATTGTGCATATTCACAGAGGACAGATACTCATTATGCAAATATATTTATGCAAATTGAATAGGAGATCCGAGAAGTATGAGTTCTACTTGAAGTGTGTAGAATATCTTGTCATTATTTTCGCATTGGGAGGTCACCATCCTGATATTGAACAAATGTGAGAGCTATTGCTCAAACTCTTTGCGTCCATTGCTTGAATTAATCAACTCCAACAGGAAGTTGAAACATTTCCTCTGAAAAGATATTGCTCCGCACCGGTTTACCAACCGACATAGAGCATTTGAGGAACTGAAGTCTACGTTGAAATCACAAAGGCTGCTGATTCATTGTAATTCACGTTACGGAAAATCATCACATCAGATGCATCAAGTTACGAAGTCGGACAACTTGGATTTAATCCACCGTCGGAGGACATTATCCCCTGTCGACCTATCTTTGATAATAATCGAAATGGTTGGCAGACCGACTATCCATAAGCAACAAGTTTTTTGAGCAGTTTAGTTCTATTCATCCAGGAACAAATGATAAATTTGAAAATATCAACCAGAGGGTACTCAAACTAGGCTGGAAGGGTCAAAGGTTATCTCAAATATCGAAATTCTAAAACAAGCCATTCAAATAAAAATCATCGCCGCAGTCATCAAATAAAATACTATGAAATTGAGCTTCTGCCAATTTTACGGTTTCTACACATTCCCGGAAGTAATGCTTATCTATAGAGGTCCGCGATAGACTTACCTCCACGTGGTGCACCCTGGACAACGTACGATAGACTTACCTCCACGTGGTGCACCCTGGGCAACGTACTTTCTTACGGCAAAAATTCTATCACTCGGCATTCGTTTTTGTGGCATTTTGACTTCTATTTATTATGAATAGCTTAGAACAAGACTATAAGAGAAAACGCCCTTTTCATTGAAATGCTGGAGGGATGTCACAGGACAAAAAAGATCCAAGTCCAGAAAATCCTAAAAACCTATGATGTAGACATATTCACAATTATGGAAGCAAAACTTTCGGATGACAAACTGAAGTACTACCAATTCCCAGGTTACACCCTGTACCTCCTACCTAAATACGGGCAAGTTGCAAGTGGAATTCTGACTGGAGTAAAAGAAGGCCTCACCTCACACTACGATCTAATCAAGAGTATGGGCTCGACACAAGACAAATGTGAAATAATCAGATTAAATGTTTGGAAATGTCAAAACCACTTCAAGGTATATGCAGACCCAAGAAAGAACCAATACGTTTAAAAAACAAACTGCTTACATCCCACTGTGAAATAGCTAACTGCTTTGGGAGGTTCTATTCCCACAAGCAAAAGAAAAACCCTTTTATCAGAAAATCTTCAAGAGATTTAAAGATATAAGTAAGACAGTTTGGTGAGATTAAGGAAGACATAGCAACATCAAATAATGTACTTACTGAATCATTCAGACCATGCGAACTTAATGCTGCGATAAAACAGCTTAAGTGCAAAAAGTCTCCTGGCGAAGACAGTATTCATCCAGAATTTCTAATTAGAATGGGACCAAAAGCCAAGGAAACCATGCTGACGCTTTTCAATAAAATCTGGGAGATCAGCCTCGTTCCTAACCAATGGAAAGTTGCCATAGTAATACCAGTACTAAAAAGGGCAAAGACCCTAGCAACTTTGGCAATTATAGGCCAATTATGTTGCTTGGATACGAAATTCACCAAAGTGATGANTACTTTCGGACTCACAGTCAGCAATAGACTCTATTGGAAACAGAGAGACACCCAAAAAAGCTGAGATAAAGGAATGTAGAAAACTCTATGAGCTGCTGAGAGAGAAAAACAAAACAGTGGTCCTACAATGGATTTCTGGTCACTGTGGCACTAAAGGCAATGGGTTTGCTGACGCACTTGTTAAGAAGGGGACAACGATTTTGCAATGCATAGACCGGCCGATGTCTTTTCACACAATGAAGGCCTTAATCAGGAGAGAATTCCAGACCTCAAGGTGCAACGAACTTAAACCTCGAACAAAGGAGAAACCGTGGACAATGGCACTCCGACATAGCCGACTGGCCAAGAATCGAAGGCGTTGCTGAGTTTAGACTTTGGCCAAGAATCGAAGCCGTTGCTGAGTTTAGACTACGTACCGGACGGATTGCCTGGCAAAACACCTTCAAAGATTGGGAGTATACACTCAACCATCAAAACACCTTCACAGATTGAGAGTATACACTCAACCCACATACTCTATGTAACCTACAGGAGGAAATGGAGAAGTCCCACCTGTCTATGTGACCTACAGGAGGAAACGGAGAAGACCCACCATATGTAACCTACATGAGGAAATGGAGAAGACCCATCTGATCTGTAACCTACAGGAGGAAATGGAGAAGACCCACCTGATGTGAAACCTACAGGAGGAAATGGAGAAGACCCATCTGATTCTTAATCTAAGAGAGTATACACTCAACCCACATGCCCTCTGTGTAACCTACATCAAAACACCTTCACAGATTGAGAGTATACACTCAACCCACATATACTCTATGTAACCTACAGGAGGAAATGGAGAAGTCCCACCTGTCTATGTGACCTACAGGAGGAAACGGAGAAGACCCACCATATGTAACCTACATGAGGAAATGGAGAAGACCCATCTGATCATATCCAGCCCTAAAGACAAGTACGGAAAGCCAAAGATACTGGTATACAGGAGGAAATGGAGAAGACCCACCTGATTCGGTGTTCAAAGGAGGAAATGGAGAAGACCCACCTGATTCGGTGTCTAGCCGGAGAAGACCCACCTGATTCGGTGTCCAGCCCTAGAGACAAGGGAGTCTGATTGTGAAACCTACAGGAGGAAATGGAGAAGACCCATCTGATTCTCTACAGGAGAAAATGGAGAAGACCCACCTGATTCGGTGTTCAAAGGAGGAAATGGAGAAGACCCACCTGATTCGGTGTCCATCTCTAAAGACAATGACGGTAAACCAGAGATACTTGGATGCAAGAAGACAGCTTATGAACTGCTATTAATTAACTGCTATATATGTACCCCCCCCCACCTATGGGGGAAGCTGAAGTCAAAGATTAAGGGCTAATGATAAATATCATTACCTATGGGGGAAGCTGAAGTCAAAGATTAAGGGCTAATGATAAATATCATAAAGCCTGCTATTTGAAATAATAATAATGTTTATCTATATCAAATGGTAGGCTTTATGATAGTTTTCATTATCCCTTTAGTTGACTTCGGGCCTCATAGACAGGTGGAACATCAAAGCCACAAAAAATCGAGAAGGGGAGGGGAATAGAAAAGTGATTCAATGAAATAAAATAGGCAGCTACACAGGTAGAGAAAATGGTAGAGTGAGGTGAATACTGTGGTAGTGGTGGAATACGACATACAGTGGGGTCATAGTAGTTTTGAAGTCAGAGGTCAATTGACGGTTTTTGGACGTTTTGCCGTATGAACATGGTTGTCTAGGATGCATTACGGGGAGGGGAGTCTACTGCGAAATCCCCTTCCCGGAGAAAATATAAACCACGTAAATAACAGCCATTTTCTTGTAGCATGGTTTCATGGAAATTCTTGTGTTAATGTAGAGTACTGTTCCTGCCTACCAGTTCAAAGAATGCGGTGAACAAATAATCATTGATCATATTCGAACCTTTTGAGATCCAGTACAATTATTTACCCGAGAGTTTCTTCAAACGCTTCAGTTGACCATTGAATAGATCATTGATCAAAAGCGCGATGACAGTGTTGGTTTAAAAAAGGAATAAATGTTATCTAAGTAAAAAATTGAATTATAATTGACTATTAGTTGTTCACAATATTGCCACATTTTTAAGATGTGATAACTTCATGGTGTGATTCTTTGTAGTATTTTGAATAAATTGTTGAAGTTTGTTCAATTTCATGTTTGCAACAGTTCATTAAACGTCAATGAAAAAAGGGGACTGTACATCTTATTAAAACATGATACAGAATTTAGTGATTTATACAAATTTTCTATTTTGAATTATAATGCACATTTTGTAAAAGATCCACCTTTAATGACGTCCAGTTGAACTCATCTGTTTTCCTTGCAATTTTTTCAAAATAATCAAATCTATGTTGGCTAAAATAGTTTGAAGTCATCTGCCGATTTATAAAAAGTCTGCCATTTGATATAATAATGATACTAATGTTGGTTAAACTAATGATAGGCCCGATTTCACGGATAAGATTTTTTTACTACTGTAATGTTTTCAGTAAATGAGGTGTGCAATAGACTTACCTCCACGTGGTGCACCCTGGGCAACGTATACTCATACAGCAAAAAGTCTATTAACTGGCAGTTTAACTTCTGACTTCAAACTGTCATGACCCCACTGTATGTCACATTCGACTACTTCCACAGTATTCACCTTTTTCTACCTTTTCTACCTTCGTATTTGAAACACTCTTCTGTTCCCCCCCCCTCTCGAATTTTTTTAACTTTGATGTTCCTTCCCCTCTGTGAAGCCTGAGTCAACTAAAGGGCTATTGATTACCATCAAAACGCCTGCCATTTGATATAAATTAAATGAATGTTTTCTGTAAATAAATTCACACTGTTGTCTAACCTTTTTCTGCCTAATTTAATTACCCGATTGACACTTTCGTACTCAAATTGTAAAGATTTGTGCTAGATAAACTTGCAATTTGGAACTTTTTTGTCAGAAGAATGCTCTACTTTTGAGCTAATCTTGCTATAAAAATTTTCATATTTTCCTGGTTTATTTGGCAGGTCCTTCACTTTTCCACATCTCGGGTATTTTATTTGAGCACTATTTTCTGAACACAGTCACCACAGAATAATAAAAATGTAAAATTCAATTCTGTGGTAGATGGCATTTTTTTAATTAAATAGAGGTCTTTTAGCACTGACGCAAGTAGTCCTGAGATGACCTCTGACTCTAATTTTCTAAGGAGACGTAATCATTTACCCTCTTTTAAACTGGCATTTAAGTGCCAGTTTTGTAAATCGCCAATGGGCTCAATTTTGCTGGTGGTAGCATTTAAATTAGCAGAAATTGTGTTTAATAGTCCCTATAAGGCTCGAAATAATTAAGATAGCGAGGAAGAAGTTTGGAACACGAGGGGATGATTAACACGAGTAAAAATTTTGATCAACATTCATTTATATCAAATGGCAAGCGTTTTGATGGTTATCATTAGCCCTTTTGTTGACTTCGGGCTTCACAGAGGGAAAGGGACATCAAAGTGAGAAAAATTCGAGAGGGGTAGCAGAAAAGAGATACAAAGATGTAAAAGAGACAGACACAAAGGTAGAAAAAAGG